TTCCCCAAAGTTATTGACAGAATGAATTCCCATAACACTTACCCTTTTTGCCTAAAAAGGAAGGTTCTAAACCTAATATAAAACTATGTATAATAAGAACAATTATCAAATATTGTCCAGGAGAAAGAAAGGGTAATAACATACACAAAACATGGAACTACAACCAAGAACATCATCAAGCAAGAAGCACACACTAAATGTCCAGGCTACAGGTAATTGGCAAATAACAGAGAGTATTCTGATAGCTGTCCTATCATGAAGAGTCTAACTCGTATACCTAATAGGCCTTAGCTAAGATATTAAACAATAGTAACTGTGACGGTCTAGTCTTCAACCCCATCAAAGACCTGAGAAGGAAAATAATATTACCTCAACATCAATCCAGCCACATTGAACCTCTTAGAAGAGAAAGTGGGAGGTACCCTTGAACAAATTGGTATAGGAGACCGCTTCCTGAACATAACTCCAGGGGCACAGACACTGAGATCAACAATTAATAAATGGGACCTTTTCAAACTTAGAAGCTTCTGTAAGGCAAAGGACACAGTGGACAAGACCAAACAGCAGCCCACAACTGGGAAAAGATTTTCACCAATCCTAAAATCTCTAAAATATACAAAGAACTCAAGAAACTAGTCAACAAAACACCAAATAACCCTATTAAAAAATGGGGTATAGAACTGAAGAAAGAATTCTCAATAGAGGAAATAAAAAAGGCTGAAAGAAACTTAAGAAAGTGCTCAACATCCTTAGCTATCAGGGAAATGCAAATCAAAACAACTTTGAGATACCATCTTACTCCTACAAGAATGGCTAAAATTAGAAACACCAATGACAACTCATGCTGGAGAGAATGTGGAGAAAGGGGAACACTCCTCTACTGCTGGTGGGAGTGCAAACTCATACAGCCATTTTGGAGATCAGTATGGCGATTCCTCAGGAAAATGGGAATTAGTTTACCACAGGACCTGGCAATCCCCTCTTAGGCATATACCCAAATGATCCACATCCATGCAACAAAGACATCTGTTCAACTATGTTCATGGCAGCACTATTTGTAATAGCAAGAACCTGGAAGCAACCTAGATGCCCCTCAATTGAAGAATGGATAATGAAGATGTGGCACATCTACACAATAGAATACTACTCTGCAGAAAAAAATAATGGTATCTTAAAATTCACAGGCAAATGGATGGTACTTGAAGAAACCATCCTGAATGAGGTAACCCAGTCCCAAAAATAGGAACATGGTATGTACTCGCTCATGTATGGATTTTAGACCTAGAGCAAACGATCATCAGCTTATAATTCACACCACCAGAGGAACTAGGATACAAGGTGTATTCTAAGAGATTCATATAAAGTCCCTCACAGAAGGGGGAAGGGACAAGTCCCCCCAGAGCACAGGGGGAAGTGGGGGGGGTAGCGAATGGACAGAGAAGTAGGAGAAAGCGAGGGGGAGGAGAGGAAAACACGTGCTACTAGGAAGATTGAGTCCGGATAGGAATAGAAGACAAGAGAGAGAGAGAGAGAGAGAGAGAGGGAGAGAGAGAGAGAGAGAGAGAGAGAGAGAGAGAGAGAGAGAGAGAGAACATAAAAGAGGGAGCCAATATTGGTTTGAAGATAAAACTGAACCCAAAGAAAGGTCTAGAGAACTACAAGACTGCCGCCAACTAACAATTTGAGCATCCGTGGAAAGGCTACCATGAATGCCCTTCCCGGATAGTGAGATCAACAACTAACTTATCCATGGAGCCCTCATCTAATACCTGTTGGAAACAGGAGCAAACACCCATACATAAACACTGAGTTGAACTAGAACCCAGATGCAGATGGAGAGGACAAGACCAGGCTGCAGAAACACATAGAGACAGCTGACCTGAACAAGGAGGAGCTAATGAGCACCCCAGACTGATATCTGGGAAGCCATCATGGGACTGACTCAGGCCCCCTGAATATGGGTCTCAGCCAGGACTGAACAGTCTAAGGGACCTCAGACAGTGGAGCCAGGATGTATCCCTGGTGCACAAAATGACCTTGTGAACACATTCCCCATGGAGGGATAACTGCCTTAACCTAGAGACAGAAGAGAAGCCCTAGTCCCTACTCCACATGACCTGTCAGATCTACATGACCCCAACTGGATGGCATTCCCCTATATATGGAATTGGGGTGGGGGGATGGGAGGGGAGGGTGGTTAGGGTGCATGTGAGAGGGCAGAGAGGGTAAAAGGGAGGGAGGGAAATAAGGAGGGAGGGAGAGGGAACTGGGATCGACATGTAAAATAATAAATTAAATTAAAAAAAATCTGTCTGCAGTCAATTCAAATCCACAACAGAATTCAGAGCTATCTGTCCTGATTTAATCCCTTCACCAAATTCACTAATCACTTCTACCAAACTACTTTTCCCACTAGGATAGAGAGACCAGAAGTCTCTACATATAGAAGAGAAAGCCAACCACTGTTTATGGGTTATCTTATGATTGTCCACCTTAATAAATTGTGTAGTGTTTAAAGTCAATTGAGTTATTCCTAGGGAAACAAGCCATGAACAAATCATGAAAATGTTCTGTCTTCTCAATTTGTCTATTTCAATTACTTCTCTTATTGTATTGTCTTCATAATGATCTTACCAGACACTCTTGTTTCTGATTTCAGTAAAAATGTCTCCAACGTTTCACCATCAGATGTGTGTGTTGATAGTTTCTGATAGATAAACTTGACATGGTAAGTTTGGATTTTGCCAGGTGTATAGTGGCACATGCCTTTAATCCCAGTATTCAGGAGGCACAAACAGATGGGTCTTTGTAAGTTCTAGGCCAGTCTGGTCTATAAATTGAGACTCCCCCCATCTCAAAAATCCAAAACTAAACTAAATCTAAAACCCAAACCCAAATCCAAACTACCACACAACAAAACACCCTTTAAATGTTCTTTCTAGTTTACTGTTTTATTTTCATTTATAAGACGTTGGTGCTGAGATTCATTAAGTTCTTTTAGATTATCCATCTTGGGGCTGGAGAGATGACTCAGGCTAAGAACACCTGAGGCACTTAATAAGGTTCAAGGTATAAGAAGACGCAGAGCTTTTCTTGTCCTGACTGCCCAGTCCCAAATAAACACACATGACTTATGTTAATTACAAGATGCTTGGTCAATAGCTCAGGCTTATTACTAACTAGCTCTTACATTTAAATGAACCCATTTCTATTCATCTAAGTATTTCCACATGGCCATGGCTTTACTTGTCCTCTTGGGTGCCCCCTTGGGTCTCTCTTGACTCTGCCCTTCATCATTTGAGTCTTCAGTTTGATTTTCTCACCTAACTTCCTGCCTGGCAACTGGCCGAACAGCATTTTATTAGCAAATAATAGAAATACATATTCATAGTTAGAAAAGTATTATTCTACAGCACCAGGGTTTTGTTCCCAGCACTCACATGGTGGCCTTAACTCCAATTCCATGAGATCCAATGCCCTTTTTTGGTGTCTATTGGCATTGTACACATGTGGTGCACATACATACATGCAGGCAAACCTCTTATACACACAAATTAAAAATGTATGTAAAAATGTAAAGTACCTATCCTATTGATATTACAGAAGCTTCTCAGTTTGAGGAGGTCCCATTTATTAATTGTCGATCGCATTGTCTGTGCTACTGGAGTTATGTTCAGGAAGCAGAACGACCATATTCATCTATGGCAGTGATTCATGCAATGGGAGGTTAAATCATGAGCTTTGAAAAGAATTGTCTTTGCCCAGCTGGTTCTGGGAAATGGCTGACTATACAAATGAGCCAGATTTTTGTCTTACTGCTGGACATCACAGAGACTTCTGTGATTTAACACTGTGAGCCTCTCAAAGGTGGACAGATGGATGATGCACAGTACTTTGTCACCTCCTTACACAGCAGATACCTTTTATCAAAGCGCATACATTCAATTCTCTAGGGACAGTCCTCTGTTCTTATGTTCTTTTTGGTGTAATCTTTCTTTTTTGGATCTTGGTATCGAGGTTGTGATGAACCTGGAAATACATTATCTTTGCTTTTACCTTGTAGTAGGTTTTTGTTGGAAACAGGGTCTTCCTATGAAGTCCTGGCTGTCCTGGAACTAACTATGTAGTCTAAAGCTGGCCTTAAACTCACAGATCTGCCTGCCTCTGCCTCCTGAGTGCTGGGATTAAAAGTGATTGCCACCACACCCAGTCTGGTAGCAGTTTAATAATAGATTGTCTGTCCCCTTATGGTGTGATTGGACTTGTTATAAATCCATTTGGACCAGTGGTGTTTCTGAGTGACACAAATGCCTGGAATGCATTTGGACATCATTCCCACAGAATCTTTTCCTCTGCAGGCTCTTCTGCTTGGCACACTAGCTTCAGGATCTGGCTATCTTGGAAAAGCCTGGGTTGTGTGACGGCGAGTCCTGGTGCACAAGCAAATCAAGCCCACTACTGTGTATGGTCCAGTTTAGCACATGTACCCTCCAGGGACTGCAGGCCTGGCTGTGCAGGGGCAGGTGGTTCAGGGATCAAATCCTGTTGCAGCCTTTCTGTCCAGCCTGAGGGTCCTGCCTGCTCCATTTCATTCTGACTCCCTGTACCTTTCCTCAGGTACTGCAGAGGCAGGCATCCTACTCTAGATGCCACCTTAAGGCTTGCCCCCAGGCCCCTGTGGGTAAATCATTTGCCCAGCAAGAGGGGCAAGCTGAAACCTGCTCTGAGCGTGGGGTCAGTCTGAGGCCCAGCTGCACTGCATTAGGTCAGCCGGGCAGTGGGGAGAGCGGAGGAGATCGCCCTGGGGTCCAGTCAAGCCTACAAGGGCCAGGTTGGAGGGCGTCCCTGCAAAGGGCCATCCCGGGCCTGCAGGCCTGGGGGGCCGGAGCGTCTTCCAGGGACCTACGGCGGAGCTGAGCGGTGGATAAGGGGTACGGCGAGGCCTAGCGGAGCCGAGCGGAGGCCGATTGGGGGCGGGGACCGAGGGCGCCGGGGGCCACAGGGCGGTGCGCTCCCGGCTCCGCCGCAGGCTGCGCGCCCCTCCCGCCCCGGCCCCGGCCCGAGCCATCGCTGCCGTAGTTGCTGCCGCCGCCGCCGCCAGGCCGCGCCCCGCCCCTCGCCGCCGCCGCTCCCGGGGAGGCTGCGCTCGAGCTGCGGCGCCGGCTGCAGCCGCCTGGGCCCCGGGCCCGGCTCCTCCCGCGCCGCCCGGGCGATGAGAAGCTGCTTCTGCGTGAGACGGAGCCGGGACCCGCCGCCGCCGCAGCCGCCGCCGCCCCAGCGGGGAACAGTTAAGTGAGGCCCGCGCGGGAGGACGGGCGGGGGCGGGCGGGCGCGGGAGGAGCCGGCCGGGCCCGGGCCTCCGGGCTGCGCGCCCGGCCCGCGTGGGGACAGGCCCGGGAGGGCGGCCTCCGCCCAGCGCGGTGCTGCAGGCTCGCAGGGCTCCGGCTCGGCCTTGCGGCTGCAGTGAGCTGGGGATTCGAGTGTTAGCCCCGCTCCGAGGGTGGAGCCAGGTGAGGGGCGACGGTCTCCACCGGGGGCACACGCTGGGGACAGGTCCCTGGACTCTCTTGGTCTGGGGTCTGGCTCTCTGCTGTCACGTGGGTGCGGGTGAGTGTGCACCTGACTCTCAGGCATCATTACCTGGGGGTACCCAAACTGTAGGGCACCTGTCTGCAAGGTGACCAGTCATCCAGGAAGCATGGTGGGCATTTTGATGAACCTCTTCTTGCAGTAACTCCGACCAGGGCAAAATGAGGCCTAAGGGGATCACATCCTCAGAGACAGGAACTGTGAATAAGGTAGACCCAGGAGCATCTTTGTTCCCTTTGTCTTCATCACACAACTGTCCCTGAATTATCAGCCTATCTCTCTTCTGTCCCCTGATCCCCAAGGACCTGTTCAGCAAGACAAGAGGGAAAACAGGCAGGCCCAAGGCAAATGGCCATTGCCCCTTCTCCCTGCCCCCTTTTGAGACCCAGAGCGCCTGGATTTCAGCCACATTGGCAGACAGCAGGCAGGGTTCCTCTTTCAGGGCCTTTGTCTCTAGCGGTGCCTTCTTGGAGAGTGTTTCCTGACAGCTGGTTGGGTACTATCTCCTTTTAACAGGGCTAGCAAATCTTATCAGCTGCCTTGGGAAAGTTAGAAGATAAGCCCTGGAGAAACCTATACTAACTGACAAACTCTGAGTAGGCGAGGTTAGTTACCAGAGATGGTGGCACCTTTCTTGCCAGCTGGGAAGTCACTCAGGGATGCTTTGAGGAATTGTGTCACACTCACATTTAAGAGAGTGCTGAGAATCAGGGCTTCTGCAGAGGGGCTGGTCACCAAGACCCGCAGAGGTCGATTGACAGATCAGTGGCTGGTTCATTGAATATAAAATCACCTTGTCTCATTCTCTTCGTCCATCCCTTCCTGATACAGCTTAAAGACCTTTGCTGCACCTATATTGGTGGACCCTGGCCACTTCAAGAATATTTCATTAAGGTTAACTGTAAGGGCTTTAACATGAGACCCTGGCCTGGGCCTGGCTTTTCTAATGAACTTTTCTGTGTCTCCATTTCCTGGTATATAAACTGAAGCTAACAACTCTATTGTAGGGTTATGGTGGAATATAAATGAAGTGTTACAGGAAAATTTAACATAGTGCCTGCCATGGTGTGGTAAATTATTAGTAAAAGCAGAATCAGGGCTCAGGATCAAACATGTGCATATTGGTGAGCTCTACCACTGAGCCACACCCCCCCAGCCGAGATAGCAGTTACTGTTAAGCATTTGGTAATCAGACTTGCTTACTTAGTTTATTTTTTTAGTGCCTTTGTGCAGGCGTAAGAAGGACCTTCCCAGTGAAGAAGGACCTTCAAGCCGTGCCATAGTGAACACGGCTTGAATTTGAGAGCTTAGGTTGGGTTCTATCCCACTCTTTAGACCCTATGTGACCCTAATAAATCACTATCCCTTCCTTGAACCTCCTCCATCTTCTTAATTGTAGAAGTGGGTTACAAATAATACTTACCCCACAAGGATCAGCAGTCAGGAAGATAATTGACCCTTCAAAGAGGCAGAGAGCCTTGTGAAAATTAAGTGGGATCCAGCCCTCAGCAGATGCTTACATGATCCGCTGCTGAGATCAGGCCCCATCAGCAAAAGAACTCAGGGATATCTTGATTTTTGTATGTGTTACAGAACCACATGGCCATTTAATCACAATGGCTGAATGTCCTCTCAAGGCTTAATAAGTAAGGGAGAGTCCCAACATTGAACTTCTGTCCATTTCATGGCAGGTCTGCTTCAGGGGGATCAGAAGCCTAGTGGCTTGGGTCCCTCTGCTATAGCCAGTTAGAAGTGCTCCAAGCGTCGTGTCCAAAGCGCACCACACAGCCACACAATGATGGTGTTGGGGTTGAGTATGGGGGTGTCAAGTCAGTGGAACAATGGAGATGACAAATGACTGCATTTCTGGATGTGGTTAGGCTGAGGACACTGATGGTGAGCAGAGCCTTCTTTGCCTCCCAGTTGTGGTAGGGCGCCTGCAGTTAACTGCTTCCTTTCCTGTGTCTTTTCCTGTCCCCAGGGCTCTCCTCAACCTTCACCTTACTGTGCTGCCCCAGGGAATTGTGGTTTCCCGGTGCTTCCTGCAGAGCAGGGGCCTAAGTCAATTTCCTTACTCCAGCTGCCTGGCAAACAGAGCCACCAGCAGCAGAGTGTGTGACATCACCTCCCTTGTTGGGGACATCCTATGGGCCGTGTTTGGTTTAGTTGACACACTCCTGGCGAGATGCTAAGCTTGTTCTGGCAGAAATATGAGAGCCCCATGGGACCAAGTCCCAGGGCCACACACAGGAGCTCAGTACCTCAGCTTCTGTGAGGAAGGAGGGCCCTCTCGTTGCCTTCTTGCTGGGATTTTTACTAATGTGTTCCTGTGTTCTTTTTATCTATAGATACAGACTTTGTGTGCACATGCCACATCCATTCTTTAAAAAATTTAAAAACCTAGATACTGACATAATGTTCAAAAGAGTACCTTTATGTCCATTAAAGGAGAGAAACACATGATTCTTTTTAAAGATTATCTTTGTGCATGATAGCAGGGCAAAGCTTCCATGTGTTTGGAGCTCACAGAACAACCAGTAGGAGACAGTCATCTCCTCCCACCATGTGGGTCCCAGGAAGTAAACTCAGGTCATTAGGCTTAGTGGCAAGTTCCTTAACCTGTTTGAATCATTTTCCTGGCCCATACAAAAGTTTAAAACTTATTTATTTTTTTTTTATTTTAAATTCTCTCTCCCCCCCCCCTCTCTCTCTCCCTCTCTCTCTACCTACATGTGTGCAGGTAGTCATGGAGGCCAGCCCTTGGAGCTGGAGTTATAGGTAGCTGTGAGCCACCCAGCAAAAACCATGGGTCCTCTGCAAGAACAGTGTACTCTTAACCACTGAGCATCTCTCCAGCCCCATAAATGAGTTCTTAATGAGCCAAATAAGCCTGTGGAGTTTATGGAATACAGACTCCAGCGTTTCTTTCCCAGACTTCACTGAGGCAGGATGTTCAGGAAAGGGACCCCAGAACCTGTGTACTTAGTAAGGTCATTTGGGTGTTCTTATGCCTACTGAAGTTTGAGAACCTCATTTCCAGACACTGTTAGAAAAGGATTAAATGGAGACAACATCAACTTTACCAACAGAGCTAGTGGTAAGGGTATAGATTGGTGGCAGTTAAGCTAGTCACATGGTTATGCAACTGATCTATGGAACTTTTCTCTTTGTGTGTGTTTGTGTACATTTGCATGTCTGTGGAGGTCAGAGGTCTTCTTCAGGTACTACTCCTCAGAACCATCTGTGTTGTTTTTTGAGGCAGGGTCTCTCATTGGCCTGGGTCCATGATAATTAAGCTAGGCTGCCCAGGAAGCCTTTTATATCTGTCTCCTCAGCACTGGGCTTACAAGCGAGTCTTGCCATTTCTGACTTTTTATTTATATACTTATTTATTTTAAAATTTATTTCATGTGAATGATTGTTTTACTTGCATGCATGTTGGTGTATTGTGTGCATCCCTGGTGCTCATAGAGGATGGAAGAGTATATATCAGAGCCCCTGGAACTGGGGTTACAGATGGTTGTGAGCTACCGTGTAGGTGCTTAGAATTGAACCTAGATCCTTTGGAAGAGCAACCAGTGCTCTTTATAGCTGAGCAATCTCTCCAATGCCAGCCACCCACCTCTGTCTGGCTTCTGGAGGGGCTGAACTCAGGTCATCTTGTATTTTCAAGGCTGAATCATTTGCCCAGCCATAATCGTTAAACTTTTTTGGCTTGCAAAATTGAAATAATTAAACAACTCCCCATGTCCCTTCCTTACAGCTCCTGGCAACTTCCATTCTATTTTCTGTCTCTCTGAGTATGACCATGTTGGAAGCCTTATGGAGCTAGAATGTTGTGATGAGTAACTTTTTCTGACTTATTTTTCTGGCTTATTTAACTTAGAACAATAGCTTCATAGTTTGTCATGTTATAGTGTGGGTCAGATTTTCCCTCCTTCCCAGGGCTGAGTGATGTATGATTGAATGTACTGATTACACTTCATTTGCCCATTCATCATATTTTGGCCATTGAATGAGGCTGCCCTGATTCTGATGTCGATTCTTTGGGGCATATAGATAGCTAGGAATGGATCATATGGGGAATGTTATTTTTAATCCCTTGGAGAGTTAGCATACTTTTCTCCATAAAATTATGGCCGCCATTTACATTCCCACCGATAACAGCAAAGTTTCTAATTTCTCCATCTCCTCCCAGTGTTTGTTATCCCTTTCTTTTGGTAGGTGGTCAGCTGAATGGGTACGTGATACTTTACTATGGTTTGGGTTTTAACGTGCATTTCCCAGGACTTCCTAGTGAACATCTTTTCCTGGGCTGCACATTATCTGTGCATCTCTCACCCTTGGAGAAATGTTTGATGTTTGTTCTTGTTTGCCCACTAAAAACAAGGAGTAAAATGATTCTTATTTAGCTGTATTTTTTTTTTTTTTTTTTTTTTTTTTTTGTTGATTTGGATAGAACTCTTCATCAGATGCTGTGAACATTATGGCTGGCAAATATCTTCCTCCATTCTTTGAGTTGCCTTTTTACTCTGTTGATTGTATCCTCTGGTGCAGTTCTAGATGTTTTATTCACATAATAATTCTGTAGGGAAAATGTATCCAGTGTTCTGACTTCATTTGGTGAGAACTCAGGCCTGTTTTGAGTGATTTGCAAAGAACCACACAGCTGTGAGTGTCTGAGCTTTAACTGTCATT